ATTATTATTATTATTATTTTTTTAAATACCATCTATTTTTCGCTTTATGACATTTTTTAAAAACATTACACGATTGCACCGTAGATGCTCTAAATATATTTAAATCAACTAAGATATGAATTGAGGATATTTATGAGCCTTTGGTTTGTTGTTTTCAGTTTTGTAAAAACTCAAAATTTGTTTGATTTGTATTTTTGAATGCATTTTTTAAAACAAGATTAAACTCATAAAATAAAAGTTAAAAGGGTAATTAGCACAAAACATCTTCACATTTCATTGTTATTGTGAAAAACGTCCATACCTTTCATTTTTTGGCATTTTCACCATTATTTCCATCTTTCATTGCGCAAAAGGTCATTATCATCAATTTTCTCAATTAAAAATTTTGAAATGACGAAAATACCCTTCATTTTAAATAAAACAAAAGAAAAAAACTAATTGCAAACATAATCCCAACTTTTTTGAACAGTGAAAATGAGTCCCAGATAAATTATTAAAAGGGTAATTAACACATAATGTCCATACCTTTAACTATTATTGCGAAAAACATCCATACCTTTTTTTGGCATTTTCTCCATTAATTATAATTTGATAGTGCAAACCATCATTTTTTTCTATTTTCATCCAATTTCTCGATATAAAAACAATGGAATGACGAATATACCCTCATATTTAAATAAAAAAAACTAAAGAATTAATTGCAACCATTGTCCCAATTTTTTTTAAAGTGTAAACGAGTCCCAATTAAATTTATTTAAAAATTTAAAAACTTTAAAAGTGCAAACGAGTCTTAAATAAATTATTAAAAAAATTAAAAAATATTTTTTTATTTAAATATGAGTGTATATTCATTATTTCACAGTTCTTTATTGAGAAAATAGATAGAAATGGTGATTTGCGCTGTCAAATTATAATTAAAGGAGAAAATACCAAAAAAATAAAAAGAATAGATATTTTTCACAATAATAGTGAAATGTATGGACATTATATTAATTACCCTTTTAATAATTTATCTGAGACTTATTTGCGCTTTTCAAAAAAGTTGGGACTATATTTGCAATTAGTTTTTTAACTTTTTTCTTTTGTTTGATTTAGAAGAAAGGGTATTTTCATCATTTCGCAATTTTTATTTGAGAAAATTGATGAAAATGACCTTTTGCGCAATGAAATGTGGAAATAAGGGTAAACATGTCAAAAAATGAAAGGTATGGACGTTTTCTACAATAAAAATGAAAGGTGATGACGTTTTTTGCTAGTTACCCAAAGTTAAAACATAGTTTGACGTTTTTAGTGTTATACTCAAAACACGACAAACAAGCATTTAAATAAATTTAATAAAAATTATAGAAAAATAAAATAAAATAAATTTAAGATTCTAAAAATAAAAAATTTCAATCAAAAATTAAATTCCTAATAAAAAAAATTCAAACAATTATCGATTAATTAAATAAAAATTATAAAATTTTTTAAACAAAAACAGTTAAAAAATTTCAGTCCATGTTATAATTTTTTTAATATATATTTTACCAACTCAATTTATTATTTGTTTATATTTTATTTTTATAACGAAAAAAATATTATAAGATTCACCAACTTTAAAAATATATATTATTCAATAATATATTAGAATAAATTTATTTATTTTGTTGAATAATCAAATTTATGAAATAAAATGTCATAAAACACTCACCAACATTCCAAACAAAACATTATCTTTATGTTTTGTGAAACAATTTTTCAGAATAACAAATGAATCCCCTATTCGGTGCACATTTTAGGGCCAATAATGCATTTTTTATTGATGTGATGGGGAATATGCGGTTGAAAAAGAAGGAAAAAAATATTAATGTGGTGGAAAATATTATTTTATTGAAGAATGTGCGGTTGAAAATGAGTAGAAAAATGAGGATAAAAAAATAATGTGGTTCAAATAGGGGCCAAACGTATTTTTAATAATTTTAATCCAGATCATCAAAACAGAAAATTGAAAATCAAACGTTTTATTAGGTTTTGGGCTTGTTTGAGTTTCATTTTTCATTTTTGTCGACAAATGCATTTTTGAATACTATATTGATGAGAAATGTATGGTTAAAAAATAAGATTTTTTTTAAAATTTGCGTGTAATATTATTTTCTTGAAAAACGCATGTTTGAAATAAATCAAAATACTATTCAAGAATTTAATTTAATTTTTTTTAAATGGTGCTCAAAAGAGTTTAAAAATCCTTCAAAATTTAAGTCAACGCCACCCCTTTAGGCCATGCTAAGGAGTTTTGAGCAATCGATTATGGTTTTCCTTTTATTTTAATGTATCAAATCCAGGGGTTTGTGAAATGTTTGATTTTAAGTGTTTTTAGTGATGGGTTTTAAAACAATTTAATNTTTATGACATTTTTTAAAAACATTACACGATTGCACCGTAGATGCTCTAAATATATTTAAATCAACTAAGATATGAATTGAGGATATTTATGAGCCTTTGGTTTGTTGTTTTCAGTTTTGTAAAAACTCAAAATTTGTTTGATTTGTATTTTTGAATGCATTTTTTAAAACAAGATTAAACTCATAAAATAAAAGTTAAAAGGGTAATTAGCACAAAACGTCTTCACCTTTCATTGTTATTGTGAAAAACGTTCATACCTTTTATTTTTTTGACATTTTCACCTTTATTTTCATCTTTCATTGCGCAAAAGGTCATTATCATCAATTTTCTCAATCAAAAATTGTGAAACGACGAAAATACCATTCATTTTAAATAAAACAAAATAAAAAAACTAATTGCAAATATAGTCCCAACGTTTTTGAAAAGCGAAAATGAGTCCCAAATAAATTATTAAAATGACTCATTTGCGCTTTTCAAAAAAGTTGGGATTATGTTTTCAATTAGTTTTTTTTTTCTTTTGTTTGATTTAAAGGAAATAATATTTTCGTTATTTCACAATTTTTATTTGAGAAAATTGATGAAAATGACCTTTTGCGCAGTGAAATGTGGAAATAATGGTGAAAATGTCAAAAAATGAAAGGTATGTACGTTTTCTACAATAACAATGAAAGGTGATGACGTTTTGTGCTAATTACCCAAAGTTAAGACACAGTTTGACGTTTTCAGTGTTATACTCAAAATGCGAAAAACAAGCATTTAAATAAATTTAATAAAAATTATAGAAAAATAAAATAAAATAAATTTAAGATTCTAAAAATAAAAATAAAAAATTAAATTCTAAATAAAAAAAAATTCAAACAATTATCGATTAATTAAATAAAAATTATAAATTTTTTAAAACAAAAACACTTAAAAAATTTCAGTCCATGTTATAATTTTTATTTTTTATATTTTACCAACTCAATTTATTATTTGTTTATATTTTATTATTATAACGAAAAAATATTATAAGATTCACCAACTTTAAAAATATATATTATTTAATAATATATTAGAATAAATTTATTTATTTCGTTGAATAATCGAATTTATGAAATAAAATGTCATAAAACACTCACTCAACATTCCAAACCAAACATTTTTTTATCTTTATGTCTTGTGAATTTTTTTTTCAGAATAACAAATCAAGCCCCTGTTTGGTGGACATTTTAGGGCCAATAATACTTTTTTTTTATTGATGTGATGGGGAATATGCTATTGAAAAAGAAGGAAAAATTATTAATGTGATGGAAAATATTATTTATTGAAGACTGTGTGGTTAAAAATGAGTAGAAAAATAAGAATGAAAAAAATAATGTAGTTCAAACAGGGGCCAAACATATTTTTAATAATTTTCATCCAGATCATCAAAACAGAAAATTGAAAACCAAACGTTTTATTAGGTTTAGGGCTTGTTTGAGTTTCATTTTTGTTGAAAAATGCATTTTTGAATACTGTGTTGATGAGAAATTTGTGGTTAAAAAATAAGATTTTTTTTTAAAATTTGTGTGTAATATTATTTTATTGAAAAACGTATGTTTGAAATAAATCAAAATACTATTCAAATTTTTTATTTTTTTTTATTTTTTAAATGGGGCTCAAAGAGTTTAAAATCCTTCAAAATTTTAGTCAACGCCACCCCTTTAGGCCTTGCTAAGGAGTTTTGAGCAATCGATTATGGTTTTCCTTTTATTTTAATGTATCAAATCCAGGGGTTTGTGAAATGTTTGATTTTAAGTGTTTTTAGTGATGGGTTTTAAAACAATTTAATTCATGTTGGAGAGTTTATTACCAGAGATTCTAAAACTNAGTCATTAGTTAAATTTTCAGTTGTATTTTTTTCTGAATTTTTTTACTCAGTGATATTTTACTTATGATTAAAGTTTTACATATAAGTTATTTATAACTTGAAAAGTGAAACACTTATAATTAAAATTTGAATTTATAAGTAAATTTTAAAATCATAAGTTAATTTTGCAATTTTGAATGATTTTCTATACATAAATGAATTTTTACTTAGCATCTGTTTGGTTGAAATTAAAATCAATTTTTTATTAAATTTTGATAAAAGTTGATGAAATATATGATTGAAAAGTTTTGGGTTCCATGAAATATATATTTCAAATTAATTGTTGATTTTGATTTAGATTAAAATCTAAATTTTAATTTCTTTCAAAAAGGAACTTATAAGTAACATTTTATAATTTATAAGTAAATTTTTATCGTATTAGTTGTATTTTTATCTTGTTAATAATTTTTATCTTGTAAGTAACATTTTTTCTCAAATTCTTAATAAGTAATTTAAAGTAATTTTTTAGTTATTTTTATGTTAATTTAAATTTAGTTTTGAAAAAACAAAATGTGTTGATAGAAATAATTATTCTGTAAAGGATAAAATTGATGAAAACTTTTAAAAATGGCCAGAAGTCGCCAATTTGATGAATTGAGAAAGAGTAATGTTATTCATTTTCAGTGGGGATGAAAACACAGTTTATGTAGTTTTAAATGATAAGTTAAATGAAAGGTGAAATTAAATGATTAAATGACTTATTTAATTTCACATATCATTTAATGCCAAATTAACGTCACCTAGACTGTATTTTTATTTTCAGTGGAGATGAATTGCATTACTCATTGAGAAATACAGTGGAAGTTTCGCCCCACGATTTTTAGTTGTTTTTGTCTTTAAAAAACAAAAAATTTTGCAAAAAATTTTGCAAAAAAAAATAAGGAATTGCCTGAATCCCCTCGTAAGCAAAAAATTTTTTGCAAACGCAGGTATTGAGCCGGAATTGCCTTCTTCACACAACCATACACCATCCGAGGAATTGGGGATTCTTCCTCTTCATATTCAAACCCTCGCTGTGGAGCCTGAATTGCCTTCTTAACACCTGGACATTCACTCGCAAACCTTGAAAAATTTCCCAAATGGCAGTAGCAAACCCCCATCAGCTGGACATTCACTCGCAAACCTTGAAAAATTTCCCAGATGGCAGTAGCAAACCCCCATCAGCCAGCAAATGTCCAGCCCCAACCCCCTTTCCCAACCTACCATACAGCAGTAGACCTTCCCTCCCAGGCCCGTCTCCTCTGTGAAATCGTCGAAACCGTCCCAATTCATGACCTCGAGGCCCGTCTTGCCTCTACGCAAATCAAGCCCGAGCCCGAGACGGTGCAGCAGGTTTTGAAGCTTTTGTATAATTCCCCTTCTGCCGCCGTCAAGTTCTTCGGGTGGTCTGGGCTGACTCGAAAGCATAGCGAGTATTCGTGGAATCTTATGGTGGATTTGTTAGGAAAGAATCGGTTATTTGAGCCCATGTGGGATGCTGTGCGGTCCATGAAGCAGGAAGGTGTTCTGTCGTTGACGACTTTTGTCTCGGTTTTTGGGAGTTATTGTGCTGCTGGAAGGTTAGGTGAGGCTGTCATGAGTTTTGACGTTATGGAAAGGTACGAAAATTTGCCTCTGTAGTGCCATCACTTATTTATTCCTTCTGCTATGCGGGTTTCATGGATTTCTTCCCGCTCTCTTCTTTTTTGTAATTGTTGAGTTGATTTTGTGTTTGTTTATTTCTCTCGAACAGACATTCTAGGTACATTATTGTGGGATTGTGGTGAATGTTTATTCTTAAATGTGTTATTCAAATAAAAAGAGTGAATCCTTTTAGTGTAGTTGAAAAAAATAAATCGTGAAAGTAATTTATCCGTTACGTTGAACACTAATTTTTTAAACATGGTGCCCTTATCTCTCGCAGCCGCAGATGCATTGACTTTGAGTTTTCTTTTAGAACTTGCGATTCCTTTCTCCATGGATTTTTTTTTACCCCAATTTGGTTTAAGAAGTATCCATTTTTTTAATACTCTCTCTCTGCTAAATTGAATTATGGAATTGTTAGTTTATCTTTGATTCGCGGATTTAGTAACTGAAAGGAGAGGGGAAAGGGAAGGATGAGGGAAGGGGAAATGATTCTTTCGTTTCTATCGAAATTGTAATATATGGTTAAGCATAATTAATAACTTTTGACAGATAAACGTTTCAATTTTCTTGACTTAATAGTCATGCTTCCTTTCACTGTAGTTTTCTACAGCAACTGGAAGAAGAAAGTTTATTTAAGTTAATTATCTTGCACTTCAATTGGCATCATCTCTTATCAAGTAGACATTCAAGTTTTTGAGTTTACAGGTATGGGATTCAACCTGATATTATTGCAGTGAATTGTTTACTGAGTGCAATCTGTAGAGAAGATAACCAAACTGAGAAAGCACTTGAGTTCTTTGAAAGGATGAAAACTAAGATACCTCCGGATGCAGACACATTTGCCATTTTATTGGAAGGATGGGAAAAGGAAGGGAACGTGGCTAAGGCAAAGACCACCTTTGGGGAGATGGTGATTCGGGTGGGTTGGAGCCCACAGTACATTTCTGCTTATGATGCATTTCTGAATACTCTTTTACGTGGGTCACAGGCTGATGAGGCAATCAAGTTCTTGCAGGTGATGAAGGGAAAGAACTGCTTGCCAGGTTTGAAATTCTTTTGTAACGCTCTTGATATTCTTGTTAAACAGAATGACTCGGCTCGTGCCGTTCTGTTGTGGGGTATAATGGTAGGTAGTGGGTTGGTTCCAAATTTGATAATGTACAATGCCATGATTGGCTTGCTTTGCAACAACAATGATACTGACAATGCCTTCCGTCTTCTCGACGCGATGGTTTTCCATGGTGCTTTTCCTGATTCTTTGACATATAATATGATTTTCGAATGCTTGATCAAGAATAAGAAGGTGCGCCAAGTGGGTAAGTTCTTTAATGAAATGATCAAGAACGAGTGGTCTCCAACCCCTGCAAATTTCACTGCTGCAATCAAAATGTTATTTGATGGCGATGATCCGGGGATGGCAATTGAGATTTGGGACTATATGGTTAAAAACAGCATTTCACCTTGTGATGATGCCGCAAATGCCTTGCTTCTTGGGTTCTGTAGTTTGGGGAGAATAACAGAGGTAAGAAGGTTTGCAGAGAAGATGATAGATGGAAAACTCATCATCTCTGAGTCGACGATGACAAAGGTGAAGAATGCTTGTTATAAAGAGGGAAGAAATTCACGTGAATTGTATGATTATCTTCTAAGGAAGTGGAAGTCTTCCTGTCTCTAAGCTTTTCATTTTAGTCGTCAGTAGGCATCTTTTTGTGTTCTTTCTTCAAGATTTGATATGGCAATGATAATTTGAAAAACCCCTAAATATGAAGTGGTTTTTTTTATTTCATTCATTTTTGGCTTTTCTTTTCAAATGTGCTTCTTTTCTGGTCACAATCCCTGCTTCTAATACCCTTGCATTATGTCTCTTGTTTCGTTCTTGTTATTATAGTTTTCCATTGTAAATGCATATTCAACTAATATTGTTCTCCTCTGTTATTTCTTTCCTTTTTTTCTTTTTGTGGGTTTTTGTTGCACGGTCTACCAAACTTTGTATTCTGAAACTTGTTGCTATTCTTTTCTTCCTTGTTTTTCCTTCAATTCCCTTTCTCACATTCTTTGTTTTTCTGTTCTCTTGAGAGAACAATAAACATAAAATTTACAAGTCGCATCATGGGTACCAAGTCACTAAAACTATCCATTACATGGATCTTATACTTTTGAATTCAAAATTTGAAAGGTAGAGATACAAAGCTAGAATGATTGGACATGTGATTGTTTATTGAAGTAGTTGGCAATTATATATGGTTGTGGTGATGTGCTGCATATTTGCCTCCATATAAAGGAAATATCCAGCACATTGCTGATGTATTGAGCGGCTAATGGCTCTGTTGCTTGTAGCAAACTCCACCAGGCTGTTCGAACATTTAATATTAATCATATCAGTTTGTCACTAAACTAATTTGTTTCATTAGTATTCTAGTAAATTAGTATGATAATATGATTTTGGCCTTATGTTTTATATTGCGGCATGGGCCGTATGCTACTAAGGGTGGGCAAAAACCCGACAAACCAATTTGACTCGATTCAGTTTGGGTTGGTTTTGAGCCATTTTGGTTGGATTTTTGGGTTGGGCTTTAGACCCAACTTGAAAATTCGGTTTGGTGGTCGGGTTGGGTTTTTTGAAAAATGACAATTTAAGTTTAACTTTAAACCATTTTTTTCCCAATTCTGAAACCCACCCAAGCACCCTCACAATTCTTAAACCCAACTGGGCACGACACCCAATCCATCAATCTTCCTTCCTTTCTCTCTACAAAGTTTGTGACCCTACCATAAGTCCATCCGCCATTACTGCACCATCGTTTATGATGCAGTACATCACAACTACAATTAATAGTTTTACTTTATCTAGGAATTTGTCTTTTTTAAATTATATTTTCTAATTTCTTTTTCTAGTTGTAATATGTTTTATTCTTAAATTTTGTTTAGATTATGATTAGTTTATTTTCTTTTAGAATTTTGATTCCTTGTATTAATAGGATTAGAGAAAAATTTTGCCTATAAATATAAAGGCATTGTACATTTTTCAATAACAATCAATTATTATTCAATATATACAAAATATGATTGTTCAAATATCATTCTTATTTATTACATAATTCTTATTACAAGAATTTCATAAACGTTTCTGCACCAAAATTGGTATCAGAGCAAGGAAATTGCCTTAATCCGATGGCCGACGAAGGTACTGGTGGTGGTCGAACCCCCGACGACGAATGGAGGCTCGACAAACTCGAACAATGAATCGAGGGGATCGATGAAACCCTTCACAACATCACGCAGATATTGACTGCGTTGAGTTTTGAAAGGAATCACGACCCATAGAGAAGCAAGTTGATAAGAATTTGCAGACCTTAACTATTATGAATGTTAGTTGTTTCAACAAGCATAGAACACGGTAACATGTGACCAGAGAATTTCCTCGAACTCCAGCCAAATTCGAATACATACAAATTATCAAGGATTCTTTTATTCAACAAAACTCGAGGACAAGTTTTGTTCAAGTGGGAGAGATTGATGTAGTACATCATAACTACAATTAATAGTTTCACTTTATTTAGGAGTTTNAAAATGTCTAGTTGTAATAAGTTTTATCTTTCCATTCTAATTCGTTTAAGATTAGGATTTCTAATTCCTTTAAGATTAGGATTTTTTTAGTTTCTTTATTTTAGTGTCCTTACATTAATAGGATTAGGGAATAATTTTGTTAGTAAATATAGAGGCATTTTGTATTGATCAACAACAATCAATTATTATTCAATATATACAAAATATGATTGTTCAAATATCGTTTTTATTTATTACATAATTTTTATTACAAGAATTTCATAAATGTTTCTGCACCAGCTCACTTGAGATCCAACTGAAAGAAGATTTAATATTTGTTTTTTCTCCATCTTTAGCCATCAACACAATGTTGCCAGGTTAGGTGAAAACTAAATCGAAACCCGAAAAAGGGAAGGAAAAATGTAGAATTTTGGAGACCATTTATTGAAAATGGGGTACACTTCATGTAGGATTTTGATTCTGTGGTGATTTTTTTTTTTTTCCCTATGGTGATGGCGATGGAGGTGCTGATTTGTGGTGGAGGATCGGAGGTAGTTGTGGTGTTGGACTGAGATTTGTGGTGATTTTGTGGCCAGAATTGTGCTGGATGATTCGGGATTGAACAGACCACAGCATGATTTGACCGCCCAAATAGTATAGTTTTCGGGTTGGCCTTCGATCCAACCCGAAATGTTGCCGACCCAACCTGACATGTGCCCACCTCTATATGCAACTGTCATTCACTAGGCCCTTTTTCGGGTAAATCAGAGGCCTAACTTTGGGGGGGCCCATTTTTGGAACTGAAGTCATTTCATGGTTGCTGGGCAGTAGGCAGAAGAATGACTCTGAAATTGCTGATATTGTTCTGTTGTATCCGGAACTAAAATGTATATTTTCTTGCTTAACTTGTTCTTGAGGTCTGCTTGAGCCTTCTGCAATACCCTTGAGATTGTCATTTTCATACTGATAGCTGATTGTTGCAAATTGTAGGTTCTTGTGGCTTAACAGTCGAGGTGTAGTGCTGAGCTGTTCATGGCTCAGTAAAAGAAAAGGGCTTCTTTGGCAAATAAGCCCACGGTTATAAGCCATGGGCCCCACCAAATGTGGTTTAAATGTATAGGAGTAGGTCCCACACAAAATAAGAAATAAGGCAAACCTTACTTAAGTGGCTTATTTCAACCCTTTGTGGGGGCCCATGGCTTATATGCTACGAGCTTATTTGCCAAACATATCTGAGGGATTTCTGCTGGGCCAGTTAATCTCAATCATTGTAATTAATATGATTTCAATCATTTAGTTCTAAAGGCAACCAAGAAATAAGTTCATTCTTTTTGCTGGATCCTTTTGTAAGGTGCTTACATGGCAGACTGGATCAATTTCAATAAAGAGTTTAAATGCCACATTCACCATTTCTCTTTGATTTTCCTTGTAAGATAGAAAAAGGGACAGGGTCAGGGGGCTGACTAAGTTTTCCCTAATCTCTCTCCCCTATACAATCCTGTGGGTGTATTAGTAGCTATCAGTATGCGCCCACAGAAATGGCCCAGCTTGAATCATTGTTCTCTTGATATATTTTGTGTTCTGTGGCATGTTCAACATTTTGTCCATTTGATTCCACGGAAAGAAGTGGGCAGTGTTCTGAGATGGGTGCATCATAGATTCCTCCCACATGCTGCTGACCAAACGATCTAGATTGCAACCTTGCACGGATGTGCAGGCCAAACACTGCCTTGTGCATTTTGGACTATTTGTTCCGTTTGCAGTTGGTCTAGCATGGCATAATCCTGTAATAAGAACTCTTGTTCTCGTGTTCTATAAATGTATCTGGTGCTTACTTTGCATGTGCATGCCCCCGGTTAAGAATATTTCCATTGATGAAAAGCTTTGCACAATGACGGGAGTCATCAAATAATGCGAAGGTCCATGTCTACCTGCAAGGGATGATAATTGACATGTGTCATTCATGACATGGTAGATATTAGCTTCAAAGTCAGGCTTGTGGCAAAAAATGAAGTCTGCAAGGACAAGAGACTTGAAGTAATGCGAGTGCCCAAATTTACGAAAAACACTTCTGCTTTGTGTATGAATTTTGGAAAACTCGGTCGTGCCCTAACAATGTGTGACAATTGCTTGACTTCTGGAGGACCTGCTATGTTGCCTGTAAAGGAAAATACAGCCACAGGTTCCTATCTCATGATTTTGGATGAATTTTAACTGCATCGTTGCTTTGTTGAAGATGCCCTTCATTTAGCAGCTGTTTTCTTGTTGAATATATCAAGGAGGAGATGGCACTTTGCGCCACGTTTCCCCATTTCTTAAGGTACAAGGCTTACCCTGAGTTTCCTATATTGTGAGGGTGGTATTATCAACCTAGGAAAGCATGCAAAACGTTACTGATGTGAAAGGCTTATTATTACTCTTGTTCCATTGTAAATGCTTATGGTTCTGTTTCCATATAATATTTCTCGAGTTGAACTCCAGGTTCTCCATGCGGATCAAGTGTGTTGAATATACAAATTGAAAACGAGACTTCATTCAGATGTATTTTGTTACTTGTCAAAAGCAAGAAAAAATAGCAAGAAGGACAAAAGAATTGCTTTTTGGACACAATCTTTACCACTACACTGTACATGAATACCGGACCAAGGGCATCTTATAGGAAGCAGAAGAGAGAGTTTCCAGCACCAAAAGTCAGTACGCTGTGTACATGTATATGGTGGAAGGATAATGTCGTCTAGTTTGGGGCAGTGGGGAACTCGGAATGTAAGGCTATCATCACGTTTGAGAAATTCTAGGGCTTGGATCGTTAGTATTGAATTTACTTTCCTAGGAGAAACATTTCATCCTGACATCTTGAGAGTTTATTATACTGCTTTGCTTTTGCAATTAGCAGGATGACATTATGGTTTTCTTGCGAAATTGTCTTCATAGTTTTTATATCCTTTGCTTGATACTTTTCTATGTTAGTGGAGTTAGGATTTTGTTCGTGCTTTCCCAACGAGGACTACAGAATGCTGTGTTGCTATGTTCTTTTGTGTTACAACGGATGGTAAACATGAAACTTAAAAATTTCCTTTTTTTATTAATATTTATCATTATAAATGTATTTGGCATGTATGGATATACTCGAGCAATTAATGCAAATTTGAGTTTAAATAAATATGTAATAGTACGATAGTTCATTGTTCAAAAAATTGCAATTCGCCAAATAAGCTTAACAAAGCAATAATTATGGCTAGTTCAAACTTGACTGAGATAGTCCTATGAGGCTATGAAGTTCCATTATTTTTGAAACTTCTGATACAATAGAAATTGCTTCATTTTTCTTTCGTTTCCTATTAGCAAGTTTCGAGCCACTTTCTTTTATGTGTTACATTGATTGGTTTCTATTTGAGAAGATTATCTGCTTTTGGAAGAAATCGAAGAATTTCTTGGAATCTTAGAAGATCCATTTTTTCTCTTTCATTACCTATCAGCAAGTTCCGAGTCGCTTTCTTTTGTATGCTACATTAATCGGTTCCAGTGTGAGATGATCATTTGCCTTCGGAAGAAATCAAAGAATTTCTTGGAATTTTCCAAGATTCATTTTTGCCCTTTTCTTTGATAGATGATTAGAATTTCATCGGGTTCGAATTCCTCACAACACAATATAATCTAGGACTAATGAAGCCCAAATGAAGGCATAGGCCTAGACATGAATCAAATCAGCCCACAAGCCAAACCCTCCATCATTATCTGGAAAATGTGGCTTAAACTAACCCACGTGGTTTGGGTACTTTTGGCCGAATATAAAAACCTTCATATGTACTGAGCCATTAGTTACAAGAACCAGCTATGGGGAATGATTTCTGTTTCACATTCTTGCACAACTTAAACCTGTAAGTACATTGACAAAACCTCTATAAGATTGAGTTTCCAGTGCATATATTTGATCAACATATCAAATTTTGTTCATGAAAAGGCTTGAATTGGTATTAGACTGGACTTGCTAATGTACAAAATGAGATGAAATTACACGTTTGTGGCAGTCTTCTTTTCCTATTCCATAGGAAAATCAGAAGATGGTTAGTGTTTCTGTTTCTCTTTCAACTAACTTAACTGTCAATCCAAGTCTTAAACTTTCTAAACAAAAATCGAGACAAAATCCTCTGAATTCAACCTTGAAATTTTTGTCCAAATCAGGGAAACTAGATGAAGCCTTTCACCTTTTATTGGAATCCCAGAAATCTAAAACCCCAATTGGATCACCCAATCTCGAGTCCTACACCACCCTATTACATGCTTGCATTTCAAGAAAATCTTTAGACCATGGCCAAACGCTTTACCTTTATCTATTGAAAGATAACAAGAGTTTTCTCAACAATCCCATATTGAAATCCAAGTTCATAACTCTTTTCTCGGTTTGTGGCCTCGTGGATGAGGCTCGTCGTGTTTTTGAAAATGACATTAAGGAGATGGGGCATTTACCTGAATCAGTTTGGGTGGCAATGGCTATTGGATATTCGAAAAATGGGAAGGTTAAAGAAGCTTTGCTTGTCTATTGCAACATGTTGTCATGGGGTGTTGAACCGGGGAATTTTGCATTTTCGGTTGCATTAAAGGCTTGTTCAGAGTTGTTGGACTTGAGAATTGGTAAAGGTGTACATGCTCAGATCATAAAAGCTAATGAAGAACCTGATCAAGTAGTGCATAATGCTCTTTTGAGGCTGTACACTGAGTGTGGGAGTTTTGACGCCGTATTGCTCGTGTTTGAAGAAATGCCGGAGCGAAATGTTGTTACTTGGAATTCATTGATTGCTGGATTAGTTAAAAAAGATCTGGTGTTTGAGGCTTTTGAAACATTTCGGAGAATGCAAAATGTGGGAATGAGGTTTAGTTGGGTTAGTTTCACTACAATTTTAGCGGTTTGTGCTCGATTGACGGCACTTTACAACGGTAGAGAGATACACGGTCAAATCATAAAATCTGAAAAATCACCAGATCTCCTTGTGCTAAACTCACTTGTAGATATGTATGCGAAATGTGGAGAATTAGAGTACTGTACGAGAGTGTTTGATGGAATGATATACAAGGATTTAACTTCATGGAACACTTTGATAAATGGTTATGCAATCAATGGATATATGGAAGAGGCAATGGAAGCATTTGAAGATATGGTTGCAGCTGGATTAAGGCCCGATGAGGTTACCTTTATTTCACTACTTTCGGGTTGTAGTCATGCTGGGATGGCAGTCGAGGGTCAACTCTTGTTCGACAGGATGCAAGTGGAGTTCGGAATAGTACCTAATTTAGAGCATTACGCGTGTTTGGTCGATATATTAGGTAGAGCCGGTAAAATTGACGAGGCAATGCAGGTAACGAAAAGAATGCCTATGAATTCGAGTGGCAGTATTTGGGGATCATTGCTTAATTCTTGTCGACTGTATGGGAATGTCTCACTTGCAGAACTCGTAGCAAAACAGTTGTTCAAGATCGAACCAAACAACCCTGGGAACTACGTACTACTGTCAAACATCTATGCAAATGCAGGAATGTGGGATAAAGTTGATTTGGTGAGAGAGTTCATGGAGCAGAGGGGAATCAAGAAGGAAGCTGGATGCAGTTGGATACAGATTAAGGATAGAATACACAGTTTTGTGGCAGGTGGAGGTTTTGAATTTCGTAATTCGGACGAGTATGCGAAAGTATGGAATGAATTGACAGAAGCTATGGAGAAAAGGGGATATAAACCTGATACAGGAGTAGTTCTTCATGACATAAATGAAGAAATGAAGGCAAAGTGGGTGTGTGGGCATAGTGAGAGACTTGCAACAGTATTTGCACTTATTCATCAGGGCTCGGGATTGCCAATTCGAATCACTAAAAATCTTCGTGTTTGTGCAGATTGTCATACCTGGATGAAGTATGTATCTGAAGTAACCAGGAGCAAACTTATCTTAAGAGACACGAACCGTTTCCACCATTTTCATGAAGGAACGTGTTCTTGCAACGATTATTGGTGATGACAACATTCTTTCTTGTCGGCTCTCTCCTTAATGATCTCAATCTAGAACTAATGAATGAATCGAAGTGATCGTTGCCATCCTAAAATAGGTAATAGATTGTTGTTTTCCGTTTATATAATGCATATAGCTTCGCTCGTTGGGTTCGATATCTTTGTATGAATTAACAGTTTTTAATTGTTCTGATTTATTTTTTATCGAAAAGTGAGAATCGATTAACTGTTGTTAGTAAAGAGTGACATGCATTGGTTTAAGATTAGATGACTTGAAATGATCATCCATATTAGACCGAACCATTTGCTAGGCTCTCTCTCTCAAAGTTACGGAGCAAGTTATGATCGGATCAAGTAGAGATTTGAATTGAAGGTTAGAGTAGATGATATATGTTACATTTTATATCTTGGTAATTAAAAATATATCTTTGACAATTTTTTTATGAAAAAGGAACAAAGAAATAACAAAACCTTCTAAATTCAACCCTTCCATGAGACCTTATTATAAGAAATCCTTGGTTTCGCATTTTCAAAAGAAAAGACGAAATTTATATCGAAAATCCAAAGGGGTTAAAGGATTAAATTTTTTTTTTTTTTTTTTGATATCTTTATGTTGAAATATTCTAAAATATTGTTTTCTTCGACTTTTGAAATTTTTTTGAACTCTAGCCCCTGTTTGTGCCACATTAAATTTCTTATTCTCATTCTTCTACTCATTTTTAACCATACATTTTTCAATAAAATAATATTTTCCGTCACATTAATAACTTTTCATTCTTTTTCAACCATACATTCTCCATCAATCTATTATTCCAAAATACATTCTTCCAAAATAATGTGGTTCAAACACACCCTTAAAGTCAAAAGGAATGGGAAAAGTTATCCAAACGGGGTTAGTGACAATGGAGAAAAAATAGGTGTATTTTTCATTCTTCTACTCATTTTGAATCACGTATTTTTCAATAAAATAATATTTTTCATCACATCAATAATTTTTTTTTTCTTTTTCAACCACACATTCTCCATCAATCTATTATTCTAAAATAAATTCTTCCAAAATAATGTGGTTCAAACACATCCCTAATATATATTTGTTACAAGAACAACAAATGAACTCAAGATTTATAATTAAAATTCTTAAAAAGTAACTCCATAAAAATTACCAAATCACTCTTCGTGAAGAAGCTATGTAACTATATTTAAAACAAGAAAATATAATGGTATTGTTTTGTAACGTTATAATCATTGGTAGAGCTTGATAACTTGTAAGGTTGGTAGAGTATTTAGCTCGACTAACTTAACATAATGTCAAATTTTTTTAGTAAAAATAAAGTCACGATAAAATAATCGAATTGAACCCACTTTACATGATAAAAATAGTAATATAAAATGTGAACTATTTGAATAAAGTTAAATTAATTGTCAATAAATTCTTTCGGGGTCTCAAATTTTCATGTTTGTGTCATATTTCGAATCTTTCATTTGTTGCATCCATAGCTTCAATCCTAATAAAGATCTTTGTCAAAAAAGTTTGTGGAAGGATTTTGCGTTTTTTCTAACGCGAGTGTACAATATCATAACAGGTAATATAACAAATCTTTGAGTTTGAATTATCATTTCCACGACAACTATACTTTAGAACTTAATTAGATTTTTCTAACTCCTATTTGATGAGAGCAAACAAAGAATTATAGGTTGTTGTGAATTTTTTGTTTAAACACTTGAAATTAATTAAAATGCACACAAATATTGATTGAGAATTTAATGAAAGCATATTAGGGTTGAACAATTTCACCAATTGATCACATTTAATTCTTAATTCAAGATTCTGGAGTCTAGTGTAGTGTTTGATCGAATTATTCTATTATATTCAATTTACCCCCTCGAGATCTCATTGAATCTAATTAGCTAATTCAATCTCACATCTCTATGAGAATCTACGTTAGTTAAACGAAATATTAATTTTAATAATTCATATAATGATAGCAATATTTAGTATAAGTATCCCTTTACGCGTTATACTAATATATAGGGTTTTACTATATTATCTAAATCTCAAACTCATTTCTCGATTCGTAAAAGATTCACAAAATTATCAAATTAGTGATCAAGTAATTTAATGAAATAAACTCATAACAAAATCAACACATGTATGATAAAATAACAAGAATTTTGAATAAAGCGAATAAATTGTCTCAAGTAGATTACATTGTTCGTTTTAATATAAAATTTAGCTACTCATAATGATGGAAGAAGAAAAATAAGAAGTTGTTATTGAATACATCACCGGATTTTGAGTAACGATGTAGAAAAAGAAATTAATCTTGCACCAAGATCTTCTTCCTCTTCCAATTAATACTTCAAAACTTGAATACGTTCGTCAATCTCTAGTTGTATTTTTTTCTCAAAACGTGGAACTCCCTCAAAAGCCATGTTCTAAAATGCGCGAAAATGCGCCGCCTACGCGGGCCTCGGTGCGATGAGGGTGGAAAACGCATCGAATTCGAGATATGCGCGAAAAATGCGTTTCTGTTCTAAAAGGCGGCATAATGCTTAATTCTCGACCTCGACGCCTCGCAACGCATTACGTCTTTTAAAACATTGCTCAAAAGTGTCAAAAACTCTTATTTATACTTGCCCATGTTTGTGTCCAATGTAGGATTTTTATGGGTTTCAAAACGGGTCAAAACATGCCCTAGATACATCCAGGCGACGCCTCAGTGCCATGATGGTGGCACCGCTTCGCCACCATTCGGGAGAAAATCTACACTGCACTTTTTTTAATATTTTTATCGTAACTGTCTCTCCCGATATTAGATTGAGATGATTCAAATTGGGTTGTAAAGATAGCTCAAAGTGCTACAACTTTATTAGAAATAGTTGTTTTCCAATTCGAACGTTTACTAGGGCAAAAATGGGTCTCAATCTCCAACTGAAAATCTGGAACATCCTTGTACTGTTAAAAATTAATTTGTGAAAATATTTTCATTATATTTCACTCTATTTGACTTCTAATTGTTTCCATTTGACCCATAGCATTCTCGAATTTTTATCGTGAGTTTCGGCACAACTTTTGAGTGTTATACTTTAGTCTCCAAACTTTGAATTTTCCTATTTTTCGCTAATTTTCACTTCTTTATTTCAATTTCACTTCCTTATATCGAGTTTCACCTAATAAACGAAATATACAATAAATTAGGCTATAATTGTTCGAAAAAAAAATTAAATATCTATATTTTTATATTCAAATAAGTGTATAAAGTACACTTATCAAATGATATAAATGACTTACTTGTCCACATTTATTAAAAAATAAATACAAAAGTGCTACAAGAGTATTTGTCCCTCATTTTAAATCACGTAAACAAAATGTTTTGACTAAAACAATAATCAAAGACAAGATTTATAATCAATGGAAATGTGAAGATAAATTCAACGAAAAAGGTTAAGGACATAAGCGCTACAATTAGTTGTGGACGATTTTAAGTACAATCAAAATGTGATCCAACAAATAAAAATTGTGGTGTGAATTTAATTATCCATTCTAACTAGTAAACAGTAACAATTCAAATTGCATCGAGTGTCACTCCCTTTTTGGACAATTTCACACTTTCAATCAAATATTACTTGCGAGTTTTATAGCCATTAATTAAAGAGAAATGCTATTTATCCCCAGTGGGGATGCATCCCCCAGTCTATGTGGCGTTAATGTGGTATTAAATGATAGATGAAATTAAATAAGTCATTTAATTTAATCTATCATTTAACCAATCATTTACATCCACATAGACTGTGGATGCATCCCCACTGGGGATGAATAGCATTTTTCTTAGAATATATGGACAAATCAAATTTTTCATACCACATCATCATATTCATTAATCCGATAAGATGGAGTGCCTCAGTTGAATAAAAAGTTCATAGACTGTGGATGCATCCCCACTTGGGATGAATAGCATTTTTCTTAATTAAATATTCGATCTATAGAGATATCAAGCAAGTAACATTTAACTGGACTTTTTTTCGTTTACAGTCTGAAAATGTTGGAAACGTACGTCGTCACTCTTATGAAAAGTTGGGAGCATAATTTACCCATTAATTTCTTATTACCAAATAAGTAAAAAGATAAAAGTGGTGTTTTTGAAATATTCCTCGTCTAGACAAGTGTTAAATTCATTAATGGTCACCCAACTTTATACTTATTGTTACTGACCACCTATTTTGATTTTGTTTTATCATGGACACCCAACTTTGTATTTAGCGTCACCTAGCCACCTAATTTGATTTTATTTTACCATGACTATCAAATTTCATTTAATATTTTACTATGACCATCAAATTTCATATAACATTTTATCGAGATGACCCAACTTATTTTCACCATTTACACTAAATTTTAAAAGGGGTTAAATTCTATTGGGAAATGGAAGATTAGATAGTCATAGTTGACTAAGCAGGCGGTGGGCTTGGGACTTGGAATCGTAGCGCGTTGGGTTGTTGATCTGAAAACGAAGAAAGCAAAGGAGGGTTCATCGTCATTGTCATCTCAACTCAAATTCAATATTCAATTGAATTCAATAATCCCGCACCAGTTATCAACGTGTCACTATCATGCAACCTTACGTGTGGCTTCTTGTTGAATTCAATAATCCCGCACCCGTTATCAACGTGTCACTATCATGCAACCTCACGTGTCGCTTCTTGTTTTCTATTTTCCTCACCACTGCCCAAATCCACAAACTTCAGTCCCAGCCCCAATTTCATTACGTTACCGATTTCACCTTTCTTAGCGTTTGTTGGTGTTCAAATTTCAGAAGAGTCCATCTACCCTTTTGTCAGCATCTCCTCTCTATTTATTGTTTTGTAAGGTTGGAGCTTTTCTCTCTTTTCTATGATGGATTTAGCCATTTTTTGCCTTTTCAGAATTTTGGGTTTTGTTAAATGAGACTGTAATGCTATCAATGAAGTTAATTGTGTTTTAGATTATCTTTTGTTTATAGTTTATCTGGTATTTGAAGTCTTTAATTTCACTTGTGGGTTTTTGCATGTTCAGCACGAACAATAGATAGCTAATATTTTTATACGACTTAAGTCCTTGCAGTGATCTTGATTCTTGAATACCTTTTAGATGGAGTTTCCTCTCTTGTTGGCTGTTTATTGTTGAAGGTTCTTATTGAATTTTCAGTAGTTATGAATGTTTAGAACACAAGATACTCTTGGGATTATCAGTTTGCTTAAATTTAATTATTGGGTTTCAAATAATTTTCTCATTGCTTTAATATACCTAATTGTCTCGGAGCGGAACTGAGGATTTAAGACCTTTCAAATAAGTGTCGAAGATCCCGTGTTTAGCTACTTCGGCCAAGTGCTTTTTGGATTTATTTCTATTTGTGATTGTGGATCACTCAAATCCACGTGGCACTTGCTTATTGGACAAGTGGGTTTGGTGAGTATTGCGCTAGTTTGGAAGGATTGTGGACCTTAGGTTAAATCCAGTGTGGTCACTTTCTCTTCTTGTCTAGTCTCCCACCCTTTCTCAACATTGGTTTGAATTTTGAAAACAAATAGGCTTGATCCTATAATAGAAAATGTCCTCTCTGTATCATTTGGATTTGACAAAAACAAGAGAAATAGAGAGAGGAACCAAGTGGGAGAGGCTTGTTTCTCTTTTTTGCGGCGGGTTTTTATTAGTAAGTCCATTGTGTTGAAGAATCTTTGGGTCAATTTTTGTCACTTTGAGAGATATTATTCCGCGTTGTGGGTTGTAATAAATCATTGTAATTTACATTTTATCTCTAAATATTTCGATAAAAGAAACAAATTATTAAGAATTTCTCAAGTAAAGTACACACATATAGACCTTACTTCACCATTCAAGAGATCTTTTTGGTGGATCCAACTTTAAGGATTGACTGGAACTTTTCTGCACATTGATAAATTCATAATTGTTTTTGCATTTTCTACAGATAGGTCCACAATAAATTTGAAATGTAGATAGACCGGAGAAAAAGTACTACTCTTTAATATTTTGAGTTAAACTTTTGCAGCTGTAAATGCAAACACACTTTTTTTTCTGGATAAAGGAAGCCTTGTGCATATTGGTAAAACAATGGAGGGTGAAATACAGAGTATGCCAATGACAATTCTTCTTTTTGTCAATATATTGCTATACAACATGAGCTTATTTGATGTGTTGGACTGCATTGCTTTGTTGTTTGTGCTAAGCTTTAGTATGTAATCGAGTAAACCTTTTATTTTTCCTGCAACTAGTTTTCACACTTATTTAGTGAACTGTCCGGTTGGGAAATGCTGTTTATTCTTCTCTTCAATTCGATTTTGTTATGGAACTTGCATTTGACTTTGGGATTTTATGCAGATGTTGAGTGGATGGTGAATAATGTTATGTAGTAGTATGCAATAGTGGATATGAAGGTAATGCTCTTTGAATTGATATGTTCAATAGTGGGTTTGGTGACAAAGCCTCTCTCACTAGTTAAGGTATCTTGTGTTTTTGGCGCGTNGTGTTTTTGGTGCGTGGAGCATCTCTATTGTAATTCAAACCTGGATAGAGCTGTTGAGGGCTGCTATACATCTTCATATTATTATCTTCTGGAAGCTTGCAATGTGGACAATAGTTATATTTACTCTTCCTATGCGAGCAATTACTGCATTGCATAGGGAAAGACAGGTAATCAACTTCAAACTTTTTTTTTTTTGTAGCAACTCTATCATTTAGTTTATAATATTAATATCTTGAGGGGATATTCATTGAAATTTGGAGAAGTCTGATCCAGTGCCATATGTGCATGCAAATTGTTGATGGCCGCTATTTCCCCAATTTTGGAATGCAATTTGGAATATGGTGGAAATATCTAATCATGCTTGGTAAATTCAACTTATTGATCATATAGTAAAAGAGAAAATTTTAGCAACATAATAAAAAAAGGTGGGGTAGGGCACCCCCTCCCCTCCCCCCCCACCCCACAAAAAAAAAAGAAGCAAAAAGGATATAAATAAATAACAACGAACTAATCCTTATTTCTGTTGTCCACATCAATCTTTTTTTCTCTATTCCTTCCAATCCACCTACCCCGCAACCAAAAAAGAAAAGGAAAAAAAGACGGGGCAGGGATTTTTACAAATGTCATTCTCAGAAGCTTGTGTTTGGGGATTTTTGTGGCTGTTTTGGAATGTTACCTTATCTTCAGGTCTCTTTTTTACTGTCGCTTACGTCTTTGTTGCATATTTGCTTTATTTGATTTGTCGCTTACGTCTTGCATATTTGCTTCATTTGATTTGAAGAAATTCTGAGCTATAAACATAACCAGAATATTTACTTGATTTTATGAAATCCATCGAGTCTTCACGCTGTACTGTAGATTTCTAAGGTCCTATCTAACCAATAGTAAACAAAAGAAGGTAATAAGTTGAAAGAGAAAGGTGCTTAGAGATTTTGGTGTTCTGCACTTCTGTTATTCTCATTGCTTTACAGAATGTTTACAATACTAACGGAAGAACAGCTCATGTACAGCTAGAGTTGCACCTGCATGGAGTGAGAACTGAATTAGAAAGTGTTCTCTGGGATAGGAAGGAACTAGAAGAACAGCTGCATATGGCAATCAGAAAACATAAAATGATGCAGATGATGCTAGAAGAACTTGAAGGTGAACATGATGAGGCCATTGTTAGAATTCAGCTGTTAGAGAGGGAGGTAAAGTATTTGTCTGTCTTTGCATATCCCTAATGCCAAAAGCATAGTTCATCTCGTAGGAAATAGATATTACATCTGCATTGCAATTTCCTGGGATTTTACAATTCAATCATCTCTTTTGTTGACAAAAGAATGTTAGCATCCCAGTCGGAGTTTGCTAATTCCGTGTTGTAATTACATTAGTATCCCTTTGTAATTCATTTGTTTATTTTTCTTCAGTACCATGTATTGCATAGATGTGATATTTCCTGTGAATTTTGTCCATTTGCTCAGTTCTTGAGATTTTTTCTTTTGGCAACATTGACCTATCTTTGTTGTATTGAGCTCATCAGTGTGCCATTGTCTTGAAGTAATTAGTAGTCGATTGTGCTTTACTAAGGAAAGAATCAATCTTATTATGGGTTCGTAATGTGTTGATGTGTTGAATGATTGAAGAACTCGACTTGCTAGTTTATCTACTTTTAGATTTCTTTAATTGCAAAAAAAAAAAAAAAAATTGTATCCTTTTTGACCAAACTGTCTTTGGTCCAACAGGTTCAGGATCTCAAGGACGAAAATCAGCTCTTGAAAGAGGTTCAAGGTAAAAGACTTTGGAGCTATAGAGATAAATGTGATACAGGCAATAGTCATGATACTATGGACACTGATAAATTTGGGGTGTCGGGTTACAACAAAAATATTGACCGAGTAATGGCGCACAAAGACATTTGGGAGGAGGAAACACGTGATATTGTAAAAGAAGGGTTGAATTCCTACGGGCCTCTCAGCGTCGCACAAGATCTAAACACGAGCGATACTACCACCAGAAGGAGGGAGCTTGCTCTTTCTCGAAGCCTCTTCAGTGCAATACTTTCGCTCATGGTCGGGATGATTGTATGGGAAGCTGAGGACCCTTGCGTGCCTCTTGTCATTGCTCTATTTACTGTTGTCCTCATGTCATTGATGAGTGTAGTACAATTATTAGAGAACATTAATAACTACCCTGCATCTGATGCTGTTGCGCTCTTGAGATAAAGCTGGTTGTCATTGCTCTTTTTACTGTTGTCCTCATGTCTTTGATGAGTGTAGTTCAATTTTTCGCGACCATTAATAACAAACCTGCATCTGATGCTGTTGCGCTCTTGAGCTTCAACTGGTTTATACTCGGCACATTGGCATATCCAACACTACCAAGGGTGGCTCGTGTATTGGCTCTTTAGCGTCAAGTGTGGTTGAGTGGGCACTTATCTTAGTCTGTTGTAGATATCGATAACTCTTTTCTGTGTTTGGAGTTTTTCTTCTATCGTAGTAGGAACATATTGTAGCCCAATCATTGTGCTTCTAGAGTGTTTAATTTTTATTTTTCCTGGCTAGCTCTTTGTAATTGCTAACGCAATTGGAAAATGTCCAATTTTGTCTCTCTTATAATTTCTCTAAATGGAAAAGGTGCAATTTTATGCCATTAAAATCAACTATTTGGAAATCAAGCACTTAAAATACTTTGCAAGAGATACAATTGATGGCAAGAGACATCTTTAAAGGTTTCTTTTTTTTATCCCACAGCTTCAAGCTAGTGCCTCGGATTAGCTGGGACGAGTGGAACTTCGTTAATACCTCCCCTTCTCTTCTCCAGATTATATAAACTCTACCCTCCAAAGAGTAATTATGGAATGAATAGATGTATGAAATTGAGATCGTGTCTTTTTAAAAAAAAAAAAATAAATAAATAAATTATGCGTACTTTTAGTTTTACGAAAGAAATTGTTGTTTTCCTTTTTGGTTGGGTTTTTAGATATCGACGTGGCGGAGCAGAGGGTGCATTCCGGTGGTGATTGAAGTCACTGCTTCTATCATCGAAAGTCAACAGAAAGATCCTTTTTTCAAGCGAGTTTTTATTTTCATATTTCTTAAGTTAAAACTATTTAAATTCGGAAATTCATTTTTTTTCTTCTTTTACTGCAAATTCAGTGTCTTCATAATTTAGTTCAGATAAACATCGATTGCCATTATTTTTTTGTGTAAGATTCAGTAGAGGTCTAGAGGATACCAATTTTTGAAGTAATCCACTTCTCTTATTTGTTCTTATTTCGTCTAAATTCAGCAAGCAAAAAAAAAAAAAAATCTTTTCCCTTTGATATTTTCGATTATAATTCATCAGGAAGATCCCTTTCATGACTTTCAGCTCTTTCAATTGAATTTTATTACTTTCATATTAACAAATACCTTTTTTTTTTGTATGTACTTTTAATATATTTGTATGCATGAAGATGGTGCGGGAAGATTTTGGTTCTAGTAAAATATTACATTGTGGGTCGATTGTAGAGATTGTTAAGGGATATATATCATACATCGATAAATGATGTTGACACGATCAATTAATAAAGATCTTGAGCTACTCCTTTTAACAAGGTTGACCTTTTAAGATGGAACTTCAATTCTTAACATGGTATCGGAGCACATTATGCTCTAACGAGCGATTCGATCCCGTTAAGACTCTAAAAATGAGCACGTGTATTTCAAGATTGGTCTGCTCAAATGAGCCACCATCTTGCGGGGACGTGTTAAGGAATATATATTCCACATCGATAAATGATGTTGATGCAGACCGATTAATAAAGATGTTGGGCTACTCCTCTTAACAAGGTTGACATTTTAAGATGGAACCTCAATTCTTAACAGAGATAACTTCAGTGAGGGTACTTTGCAATTACAAAAAATGCTGCTGTCCATGCTGTATTGCATGGCAATCACGAGGTAACTTTTCTTTTTCTTTTTTCATTAATTTATTATTCTGTTAATGTATATGGACCATGAAATATTGGTTCAGAGATTCCAATTGGGGAAACAGCAAATGCTATTGGCATTCCAAGAATGCTTATTGATGTTCGTCGTGGTGAATTTCTCTGGATGTGATTTTGCAGAACTGCTTTCATTCTTTTGCGTTACTTGTTTTGTCTTTCTATATATATTATTAATGGGTGTTAAAAAGTTTGTAGAGGTTTCTCAGATCTCCCGTCTTTTCAACTGGTTCGTCTTGCATCAATGAAGGTAATATTTTGTGTACTATTTGAAGCTGATATCTTTATTGTGGTTGATTTCTTGGACGAAGCTACACTTTTATCTGGAATGCATATGAAATGGAACATGTTTATTTGTATAGTAATTTGGCTGCATTTGGATTCTTAGTATTTTAACTTGATTTCCACCGCTTTGTATTTTTTCAAATGTCACTATTTATGTAATGCCAGCTAAAATTTCTTTGACCATTCTTCTTGCACTAGCTTGGCTCCCAATGTGTAAAAGGAAGCTTGTAAAGATCTTTTGGTTTTTCACTTTCTCAAAATATACACAAGTAAAAAAAAAAAAAAAAATTCATTTCGATGCTTTAGAATCACCCAATATTTTCAGAGCTGTTGAATTATCAGCAAGTGTACTACACACAAATAAAAATGTACGTCTCAACATAAACATGTTGACCTGATATTTGGTCAGCTGAAGTTTTGAAGATTGGGTTTTAGTCGTAAAATATTGATCTGACATCTTCTTAACTTGCCTGTGTTGAAAGAGGCCTTAAATTAGAATCTACATCTCCTTATTAAATATTGAATTTCTTACTTCATTTTTAAAAATTAGAATTATTTGTAGCATTGGAAGTCTAGACACCATGAATTTCATATATGTTTCTGATAATTCATGCACTTGATTGGTTGGAAGCATATTATTGGGAACCTCAAGAACAGGCCATACTAATTCATACAACTGCCGATCTCAGAAAAGAAATTGAGCGTAGACTAAGTGAACCCTCTGTGTGTGTGTGTGTGTGAAAGTGAAGCAAACCACACAAGTCAAGGGAAAACGCACATTATCATCCTTTTGATGAAAATTTTAAATGTGAAGATTGTTTTTCTTCTCAAATCAGAAACATTTTATCTTCGTATTTAGTATTCAACTCGTATTTATATCGGCCATAACAACTTGAAGTTTGCACTTTCCCCTTATTCTGTTTTAAAGCAAATAGTTGATCAGACTCCTAATTTTATATGGTAGCATTTTCCGATGATAAGATTTTAATTACATTAAATTTCACACCAAGGTCAGGTGTTAGACAAAATGGAACACTTACATGGTCATAGTAAGTTTCTCTTTCTTATGACTGGGAAGCATCACATTGTAAATCTGCAGGTAATGATTATTAAATGAAAATTTATGGAGCCTTTATAGTTGATATGCTTATTGTTGTTGTGGCTTAAAGGCTGGAATTGAAATACAAGGAGATTGCAGGAAAGTTCAAGTTGCTGAATAATCTAGTAAATTCAGGTGTGATGGATTATTTTGTATAGAGATGGCAGCGGGGCAGGTTTGGGACGGGGCACCCTCGCCCCGCGCCCTCCCCCTTTTTTTTTCTAAAATTTCTAGTTAAAATACAAATTCAAAATTTTAAAATTCAAAGCAAATAATGTTCAAACTAACTACATCAATATCCAAAGCAAGCACTCGAAACGAATAATGTCCAAAATTAAACATTCGCAAGTAGAATTACATTGTAACTAAATTTAATTTCTTTATCCAAAATTTAATATTTTTCCATTTTCATAACTTCATTCATCAACAGAGCCAGAGATGACACAAGATGGTTCCTGAATTCTGAAAAACAAAAAAAATATTATACTCAATATCATCATAATAACTATGATTAAAATTTACATTATCTGATAAATAAAATTACCTCATCATCAATATACTCATCATTCATCTTGAAGCAACATCCAAAATATGCAAATGACGCAGAATTCGGTATTAATAAAGTAAAATAATTAGTAATAAGAGAATTCATAAAATGAACAATATGAAAAACAAATGTTTATATACATCATACTGTGAATATCGGCCCATAACCAATCTTGAGTACATGTTAAAGCCTCCAAAGTTTTGGAGTGAAGCCTATTTCTGTGTGGACTAATAAATCTATGACTAGTACTGAAGGCAGATTCGGACGCCACTGTTAGATACCGGGATGGCCAAAATATCTTTTGCAATTTGAGATAAAGTCGGATATTTGATTGAATTTACTTCCCACCATGTCAATATATCAAAATCATTCGACCGAGGCAATATAGGTTCATCTAAGAAAGATTCAAGCTCAGTTTTCACATTGCTAGGAGCTCCAACATTGGAAACTAATCTATAAACCCGCCATGCGATCTAATTTATTATTAGCACTTAACGTCTCGGTTTGACAAGAAGAAGTAGAAGACTGAGCTGCAGATCCACTCGAATCATTCTTTTTCTGATAATCATGCACCAACTTGCTATAAACTTGATAAATCTTTTCAATCTCACTTGCAGCGTTGTCATTAAAAATACAGGGATAATAATATTTAACTAACATCATCTTATACCTTGGATCCAACGCTGCTGCTAAAGCCAAAACTCCATGAATATCGCTCCAATACTTGTTAAACTTTTCCATCATACTGGTCGCCATCATTTGAACTTCCACATAAGGAGATTCAAGTCACTCATACAACGACAATTTCATATCACAAATATTTGCAAAGAAGAGATTAGCAGTTAGATACTTTGTTCCTGAAAACAATTCAGTAACCTTAAAAAAAACCATTAACTTCTCACATATTTCTTTGGCCAAATCTCAATCACCATCACTAGGCAAACATTTATACTGCGACTACCTCCGTTTCAAACAAGGAAAAACATCTTTATAAATCAAAGCAGTACGAAGCATCAAGTATGTGGAATTCCACCTTGTTTTACGATCAAGCACCAATTTTTTGCTCACAATCAATTTTCAATTGACGTGCAAAGAGCTCAAATTTTTCGGATCTCTTTGGCGTAGCTGTCCAATAAGCAACACTATCACGAATTTTCTCAACACTACCACCAATAATCTCCAACCCATAATTCACAATAAGATTTAATATATGTGCACAACACGTCATATGGAAAAATTCACCATTCAATACAAGAGAATGAGTACAAAGTTGACTTAACACAATGTTGATCATAGCATCATTTGT